TCAGAAATCGACGCAAATGTATGTCTTTTGTAATAATTTTTTAATTATTATTTTATTTTATTTATGAATTTAAACCCATTTATACGTTTAGGTTATTAAATCACTGCCGGGTTTACGACCAGTACTTCAGTTAAGAAAAGACTTCACAATTGACTCAAACATAAAGTCTGCGAAACTGTACGCTTCGGCAGAAGGCGTCCATAAAATACAACTAAACGGCAAATACATCGGCGATGATGTCATGAGTCCCGGTTGGACTGACTATAGAAAGACTATCCAATATCAAACCTATGATGTTAAAACATTGTTAAGTAGCAAACAAAATGTACTGGATGTCAAATTAGGTACTGGATGGCACGGTGGTTATAAAGGGTGGTCTACAAATTATAATTACTACGGAACCGATCAATACTTGTTACTTGAATTACACATAACTTATGAAAACAATAAGACATTAATTGTTAAGTCAGACAACACTTGGAAAGTGACTACCGGTGCCATAATGTACTCCGATATACTAATGGGAGAACTGTATTATCAAAACCGAGAAATTAATAATAGCACCAAATGGACAGCCGTTGTGACCAAACCTATAAACAAAACAGTGGCACATATAGCAGACAGGGCTCAGCCTATTCGGGTGACAGAGGAGTTGATCCCTAAATCCAAGCGACAAATAAGTCCCGGGGTTTGGATCTTAGACTTTGCACAGAATATGGTCGGATTGGTTGGGATCAAAGTGCCGAAGAATCACAAGTCTATGAGAATTCAGTTAAGGTATGCCGAAGCACTCAATCCCGACGGCAGTATCTATACAAAGAACTACGAAGACGCCCGATCTATAGACACGTTTGTTATTGAAGGTATGACCACTTTCTATCTTATGAGCATATGATGTGTACAGGTGCAAACTTTTTAATTCAGACACAGATGAAATATATTTATGATTCACGTATGCCATTTATTCATAACTTCAACAGCTTGTGTTTTTACAATTTATAACAATTTTTTTCAATTCTTAACCTTGATCATTATGGTCATAGAATTGTAAAGCATTAATAATTAACAAACATTTCTCACAGACTCGGGCGTATCAGGTATTTCGGTTGAGACCCACTTCACATACACCGGATGGCAGTACATAGAGGTCAGTGGCTTTCCGGGCGAACCTCAGTTGACTGACTTTGTGGGTCGTGTCGCCCATACGGACACTCCTATGACAGGAAAGTTTGAGTCCGACAACAAACTACTGAACCGTTTGTGGCTAAACGTGTTATGGACTCAAAAGGGGAACATATGGTCCATACCTACGGACTGTCCCCAAAGGAGCGAGAGGTTGGGTTGGATGGGCGACTCGGCGGTAATGATACATACGGCCAGTTATAACGCCGACGTTTCGGCCATATATAGCAAATGGCTCCGGGATGTGAGGGAAGCCATTGGCAATAACGGCCACTTCGCGAATATATCGCCCCTTTTGGATGGATTCAACGATGCGGCGCCGGCATGGGGTGATGCGGGCGTTATAGTGCCCTATCATATATGGCGTATGTTTGGAGACAAACAGATACTGGAAGTCAGTTACGAGTTGATGAACGCATGGGTGGTCCACATAAAGGCTGCAAATCCTAACTATTTATGGACTCAAATGACTTTTCAAGATTTTGGTGATTATTTGGAAGTGAACGCCCAGACACCCAAAGATGTATTTGATACGTGCATTTTTGGTTACGACGCCCTAATTATGACCCAAATGGCCGGTGCTCTCAACCGCACGGATGACGTGAAGTTTTACACTGAATTGCATACAAATATCTCCAATGCCTTCACAAAAGCATTTGTCAACACAACTGACGGCAAAATCAAAGGCGACACTCAAGCCGTGTATGTGTTAGCCCTGGCCTTCGAGCTCTTACCTCAAAACCTGAGACCACTTGCGGTCAACCAATTGGTCGACAATATTAAGGCCCACGACTACCACTACACCAATGGGTTTATCAGTAATATTATGATTATAATAACTATTATATAAACTATACTAATATTTTACAATTTTCTTAATTAGGCGTTGGGTTTTCAAACGAGGTTCTGGTGAAGTATGGGCACCGGGATGTGGCATATCGACTGCTATTACAGGAAACCTTTCCCTCGTGGGGGTACGAAATAGCCCACAACGCGACTGCAATGTGGGAGCACTGGGATAATGGGCTCAGGGATAAGCAGTTTACTGATAACGATGATCCGCCATTGAATTCATTCAATCACTACGCTTTGGGATCAATAGGCCGATGGATCTACCAATACGTGGCCGGTATTGACACCGACGACCAAATGGTGGGCTTTAAACGCATCAAAATACAGCCCAACCCCGGGAATGGTGTCTCGTTTGTGAAGTCCTCTTATAAGTCAATCAATGGGTTCATTGAGAACTCGTGGCAAACAATAGGCAATCAATTCGTGTTGAATGTAATAATTATAATGTTGTGAAAGTATAACTTAATACTTATTAATACTCTTTATATTTATTTTAGACAACAATTTCCGTCAATACTATGGCTTCTGTTGACCTAACCTTTGCTAAGAGTGGGAAAGTGCATGAAGTGGGCTCCGGGACCTATACCTTCAATGTTACCATGGATTAAATTCATATTCAATATAACACAAGAATTTATTTATTGTTATTAACTGTCAATGAAATTAATTCGTGAACACTATTCACTATTTTAAACAATTAATAATTAATAAAATTATTCTTACATTAGTTATACAATTTATGATATTGCTTAATATTAAAACATTAAACTAAATTATTAACTGGCTAAGAACTAGCTAATAGATAATTTATCAAACTAACAACTCATTAAAACACCAAAGGCCTTAATAATATTAAAAATATTTTCAACCTATACAAATAAAATAATTTCAAAATAACAATAGTTTAGTTCACATAAATATAAATGGAAAAATAATTTATATTACTTAATAAATTTACTATGTAACATTTTAATTTAATTATTATTTAAGTTAAATAGAAATCGAGGCATGAATGTATAACTATTAGACTGTAGTTAATAGCATTGTTAAAACTTTAAAAATCTAATAAAATATTATATCTGTTATTATATTATACAGATAATCTGTATAATGATAATTAATATTAAATTTATAAGTAACGCAATTTTACCAATTATTTGCACAATGCTTCACTCATATTATAAATTAATTACAAAACGATTGTACTGTATATTGTATATAGATCAGACTGTAGCATCTTGGCCAATATTGGCCATATTACAACATTTGTAATCTCATTTTCAAAACTCATACACAAATATAATTATTTTATAAATGGGGTGCAAATTACTTAAGGGCAATACTTTTTATAAATGCTTTGACTAATACATTGTATTATACATATATTATATTATATTTTATAATTAAAAATATTTTTACAAAATGTGACACAAAATCATTCATTAAAAGCTATGATTATTGTGAACTGTTTTTTATATCAGATAAACCAGATACTTACAATCAATTACATGTGATCTAGTCTGATATAGATAGTAATTGGATAACTAACTTATGTTGCATGATCACTATTTTCGGATTTGAAAACGGAGTAAGCTGTGGACATTTTAAACGAATTTGCACTAAATGTATACAAAACTACTTACCACACACATGGAGATTAAGAAATAATTCACAAAATAATCGCATTTTTTAAATTTTATTTGTTATAAATTGAGACCAAAATCACGTTATACTTTCATAACTTAATAATTATTAAACTTAAGAATTCTTGATAATTATTAATAATATTTAATTTGCAAATAAAACATGAATTTTGCATTTATTTTAGTCTAACTTCTCAGCAAAACTTTGGTTTCATTCACGGAATCCTTGAAATATCATTAAAACAAAAGATAGTTAACTGACAAGTATTTTATAAAACCTTTGGGAATATTAACACATTTTGTTCATAAAAATTCCTAAATATGTTCAACTGATTGAAAACATTTATAAAAATATAATCAAAAAATTATAAACCTTTGATTTACGATAAGGTTAATCCATTTTTATTGAACTTCTATAAAATGAGAACTAATTTGTGTTATTTTTCAAATTTATTAAACAGTCAAATAAAACATGAATTTTACAATCATTTCAGTCATACTTCTCATTCAAACACTGTTTGTATTGACGGAATCGTTGAGTGATATGAGAGCCGTTGAACTCAAGACTGAATACCTTTTGAATCCATTATCAGTGGACACAACACAACCACGACTTCAATGGACTCTCGAGGCAATGGATCCCAAGAAACAAAATCTGTCGCAAAAGGCGTACCAAATACTTGTGGCAACAGATCAGCAAAGTTTGGC